GAACATAAGATTTTAAGTAATATAAACTTCGAAGAATAGTTGCTTTTCGGAAACAGAGAACCGTGAATCGAGCCAATGTAAGATTACGTTTTTCTCTAGATTCTATTACATTTTTACAAATTGAAACTTGATATATTCATTTTACGATTATATAATATTTCTATATTTTCTATCTCTAGACGGCCAACTGAGTTACATCTGTAGGTCGCTGTTCTGCTGCGTCATTTAATGATGAGTTGTCACTTTTTTATATAGACTTGATGACACCAAAAATGCCACACGCAGCCATATTTTTTGCCACGCAGAATTAATAAATTTACAAGCATAAATAACTACTAATACATACGTTTTTGTATATGAATATATATATGCATGCAATATGTACAGCGCATATCATTAATAAGTGCAATGTTTAGCATACTCGTATAGTTTTTAGTAATTTCCGCGATTAAAAAAACTTTTTCGCTTCAAAGTTTTTCTTGCAATTTTTTCATAGACAATTTTTCTTTGGCCGTAAGGCGTATATCGCCGGTGAATTGCATATATATATTACAAAACTTTTTGTAGTTTGACCACCACAAGAACCAATTTTACACACCTCAGAAAATTTGCGACTCGTCATTTTTTTGGAGTACTAAATACTTTTAATAAAATTTACTAATATTCTATCATAGAACAACAATACTCCGATACCATATAAATTCTTTCCATTTTTTATAGTAATAGTTTGGGATCAAAGGTGAATTTGTCCGATTTGAAGGCACTTACACATTTAAATATGAATATGTATATACAAATATATACGAACTAATTAGTATGAGCTGAGCAATTAAAATCGAATCAAGCTTCTATTTGTAAATGTTGGTTTCAGCTTTATGCATGAATGCTGTAATTACGTGAAATCAAAGTATTATTAAATTACACTTAATTGCTTTGTGTGCTATAAAAATAAAATATTATATATGTATGCAAAGTTATTTGAGGATTTACACTGAAGAAAGTTATACCTTAGACATATCCAGAAATTGAATATGTTTCTCGAATGGCCTGAAAGATTTGTAATGAATCCAGTAATTACAATGCGCCATCATCCAAAAAATTTCACCTCAAAGGTAATTTTATATATCTCACAACAAGTTCCTCTCCTCTTCACATGTATAAAAACTTTCGGTAAAAATTAAAACCGAAATTAAGTAAACTACCCAAGCGAATCATAAATGTCACCCTAAATGACGAAGATCTCCAAAAATATGCCAACAAAAATTTTTAATATTATAATTGTCCAAACCATTAAGGGAAATGGAAGTGGATATTAAGGTGTCTGCACACGCAGCACTTACGAACCGATGCGTAAAATTTGTGAAACCGCGGTAAAAATCTCAAGACGTGAAACATAACGGCGCCATGAGGTACATATTCGATTCTAACTGTTTAAGTAAAACTATATACTATATATTTGATATTATCTTTAAAACCAAACAATTTGGTAAACTAACACTTCCAATATAATTTTGCAATAAAGTCCCTTCGCACGCGTTTCTATCCACTGAAATATTTATGTCATTTTTCAGACCCTTTGTATTATTTTACAAGTTTTTCCAATGTATTTTACTAATTAAGGACAAGTAAGAGAATTAGTTATTTTGATAAAATATAGAATTTTAGCATAACTTTTTCTCTTAAACTATATGCATTCAAAAACAAACAATATATGTATCCTTTATTAATGCTATTTTGGAAATATATTTTATTTGGAAAAATTCAATCAGTTTCATTTTGTAATATATTATAAGTGTTCACAAAAATTATTTTTGTCTTTTTTTCTAAATTTATTGTTTTGTAGCACTGAAAAGAGCGTCACAAAAAAAAAACAGGTGGTCGCTTGAGGACATCTGAAATAGAAAAATTAAAACGATAATTGTTCTGTGAGCTTGTCATTCTGGTTGGAACTAGGATAAAATAATTTCGTTGGAAAATAAAAAAATGGCTGACTTCGAAAAAAAATGACATTTTTAAGTAGAAATAGGGGCGTAAAATGGAAAGCATAAATAACTACTACTTAGCGATACAAAAATAAGATCCTAGTTCTTGCGAGAGCTATTGATGATGAGTAGAAAAACATATTCAAATTTCAGCTCAATCCGTTGGACAGAAAATTCTTTATCATCCGGTCCGACCGTAAGAACGTTATTTCGAGAAAAACGCGTTTAAAGTTTCAACAATAGATTAAATATGTTATGTAATAACTGTGTGTACTATTACGAGACGCTCACGTATAGGTGCTATAACTTCGTCAATATTCCGATTTTTGTTCTAAAAATTTTATAGTGTATTCGAATATACATATATAACTTTCGAAAAAAACAAAAAGTCGACTTTTCCATGTTACCAGACTACTACCTTAAATGAACTTTCTTTTGCAATTTAATGTGTGTATACATAACTACATTAATAGCCGTTTGATTTTGCATAATATTAATTCAATACAAAGAGTATCCCCAGCCCTGAATTAACAGAATTCATTGTACGTAAGCAAAGAGAGTTACCGAGTTTAAAGCCTCGGTCTTTTATCCCTTCACATCAATTATGGCCACCATTTGACGCATGCGCACGGTTATTGCCATTTTTCCATTCCATTTTTTATTCATACCATGTTTGACTATTCGTCAAAATACCGATCGTGGTGGCGCCTATGTTCAGTGTTGCTTTATTTCATTCTTTCCCTCCTTTTAGCGGCATAGTGATAAATGTGATAAAGCCGATAGAGGTATGCCATAATTGCAACGCCACTGGCTGCCACGGTGGTTGTAATAAACTCATAGTACCCTCTCGTATATGAAAATTATTAAAATAACATTAGTGCACACATATAAGAACAATTAGCATTAATAGTCATGGTATCGCTCTTAGTCAGAGGTCAGAGAAAGGTATAATACTTCGCCATAACAAAAATTACCCTATAGATACTCAACGAAGCAAACACAGTGCAGCAAATTTATAAGGGACAACTTCTGAAAGAGCCCAGAGTATAAATACGTATGTACATATTCACACCTCACGCACACATTAGTAGTAGTGGGCAATTTTTTTATGTGGAAGTAAACATATTGTAATTAAATAGCGATTAAGCCACCATTTTTCTTGAATATTCCACTATTATTACTGTTGAGCGATTGTTCTTTCTACTTTTGCCGATGATGGATTTGTCGTTTATTAAATACATGTAGCTTTTTATATCCGGAACAAGGTATATTAAGTTTGCAACGAAGTTTGTAACACTCAGAAGGAAATGTCTGAGATCCTATAAAATATACATACAAATGATCAGAGTGACGAGCTAGTCGATTTAGCCATGTTCGTCTGTTTGACTGTCTGTCTGTATATACGAGAACTAGTCCCGCAGTTTTTGAGATATCGAACTGAAAATTTTCACACTCATATTTATCCGAATCGCCTATATCGGACCGCTATGGAATATAGCTACCCAACTGATCGATAAAAATCATATTCTTGTATGCAATAACTGCTTATCTGTGATGGGTACAATAGCTTCGTACACCGATGTTAACGTTTTTACTTGTTAGTAATTAAATTTTACTTGAAGGAAATCTTTATCAAAACATAATTTTCTTTTTCATATAAACAAACCACAGAATAGTTAAAATACATGCATATTAAATTTAAAGCTGTTGCATTCTAAAACTTTTCTGAATGAATTAAGAAAAGTATAAAAAGACTTTATTATTTGGATTAGATTCAATCGCCATAATAGAAATATAAAACGCTTCTACACTTTACTTAAAAGTATTAGTACTTTATATAAAAAATTAATAAAATGTGATTTCGCGTATTTCTTGTGTGAGAATTTCAAAAATTTCTTGGTATTTAGATACGAGTGTTATATAACTCATACTTTCAACGCTATTTATTTGTATTATTGCAAGCAACACATACTTACGCCATAATCCAGATCTATTTTCTTTATATAATTGCCCGGAATTGTTCATTTATAGTTGCTTTCTATACTCACATATTCGTTACTTCTGCCATCGTTCCTATCAAAGCATTCGGAGGGCTGGCATAAAACTCCGACACTAAACACTGTATGCATCCAATCATGATTGATCACACTTGTCTGTGGTTTAAACAAAGTGCATTCATTTCTTGGATAGCGACACTCTAGACAACATGCATACGATATATGAATATGTATTTACGTGTGTATAGGTAGATTTTATTCTTTAAATGCTTTTGATTTTCTTGTTGGGAACTATGTTCTAAAATATGGCACTGTTGGTTTCGGAAATGAAAAAATATATATTTTCATTTTGCTGCGCATAATTATTTAACACAAATTCACCAGTGTCATTCGCCTTTACCCAACATTCTGCCTTTAACCTGTAACATTGTATAATACAGCTGGCATTTCCACATGCATTTCTATACATAGATATAAGGAATATACTCCTTGAAGATCTGACAACTAAACATAGAATCGACTGGCCGAAATTTCGTTGGCTTTACACCTCATCTCTGCAGTCACAAGAGACTGTCCCAACTTTAAACGCATACCAACAAAATTCTTCAATACGTTTTTACAGTAATCATACAAAACAACGAAGAGGTGCAATTGAGAAATGCGAGTTCGCACCGTGGTGGTATACTGACAATTACAAATCGTTTGATTTGGTAAGGTCGCTCTTTGATCTTTTCCTTTGCATGTTTACAGCTCCAAAGTTGTCGTCCCGCCGATGTTGCACTCCATACACCATCGCACTACATGATTTTTTACACATGAATTTCACGTACATTGTATACATATGTAAATTCTTTTTATGACCAATCATTTCGGTGTTAGTTTTTAAGTATGAAATTGGATTTTGGTTTGGTAGTTGTCTAAAATGGAGTATTGAGTAATTTGATTGTTAGTGTCATCCATCAGATATTCAAAATACCCTGTTAATTAATAAAATATTTATTACTTTTCTATACCTCTACAGAACGGAAACGTGGCCGCCAAACGTATACCCGTTACCAAACGTTAGAGCTGGAAAAAGAATTTCATTTCAATCGTTACCTGACCAGGCGGCGACGAATCGAGATCGCTCATGCGTTGTGTCTCACAGAGCGACAAATAAAAATCTGGTTCCAGAACCGACGAATGAAATGGAAAAAGGAAAATAAAACAAAAGGAGAACCGGGATCTGGAGGAGAAGGTGATGAGATCACACCACCTAACAGTCCGCAATAAGTCGCTGATAACCATGGAAACCAAAAGTCACGCTTAATCCGGTACCACTGTGAAATATGGCAACACGCACAAATAACTTAGTGTACTTTGTCTGTCCTTCATATTGCTAAGGGATCAATATTTACAAAAAACAATTAATACATATTAAGTGTTAATAAATTGAGTAAAGCCCATTGTCCGGAGCTAACGAAAGACATGTAATATTATTCTGTCGGACACTTATATTACTAACTACTACAATTTCGTAGTCAAATGTTGCAAAATTTTTCATTTTCACCTACAAATCACCCAATTGCAAAAAAGTGGAATGGATTATCGAAAATATAATACTTACTGAAATAATGCTATAAATAATTTTTGCAAAGTCGTAAACCTACTTAGTTAATTCTTAAAGTACATTTGTTATTATTTACTCAAAACCCTGTATTATGATGATTTGCATTGCATACATTAACATAACATAGTACATAGTCGGCATGCAAAATGTTCGTAAGGTGTTATTAGGAGGAGCAATAATTTCATAAATTAATTAGCTAAATGGGTAAATTCTTTAACAATGAAGTATTGTATCTAAATAAATAAACTCAACAAAACCAACTCATGTGACCTCAACTTTAAATAAGTTATTGATTAAAAAAAAAGTATATACAATTAAAAATAATAATAAAATGTAAAGGTAACCATTATACTAAACAAACGGGGAAAGCTAATAAAAATTCCAAAATATATGAGAAATAAAAACTAAACTTAACATATGGAATACTCTTATGTAAAGCATAAAAAATATGTTTTAGACATTTTCAGCTATAATTAGAATAAAATATTAACTCATGCATACTTACATACGTGAATCAGAAGGTCTGAATACAAAATGAATTATACGAATAATCGGGGAAGAAAATACAAAGTTGCATTTTAGATCTCCTCAAAGAGGTTCAATTTGTTGCATCGTATTAAATAAGAACCAACAAACCAACCAGAGTTTCATAGTTCCTTCTAATTTCAAAAATTATTACAAATTATATTTTCAAGTGATTTTATTTTATAAAAGTGCAATATTCTGTGAATTTGAAATGTGGACGAGTATATTTCATAACAGTAATATTTCCTCATTGAATCACTTTTTACATCACTTGCATTTAAAAGGTTTAACAAAGACGCATCTTTTGGCAACATTTTCGGCAAACAAATAACTCCTTGCTCGATAACTAATATTAAAAGCATTTTATTGCCATACTTTAGTAGCACGATTTATTAATGAAGAATATTTGGTTTTTCCTATTACTCCAAGTCTAATCTGAATAAATGTGTATAAAATAATCGATATAATGTCAACTCCTCCTGGCTAACTCCTTTGACCATACTTCAACGGAATATCTGGTTTGTAATTTGAAACTTAACTCAAGTGAACTGTTCGTGTATATGTTCTATATACAAATTTGTGTAATTATTTACATACATATGTATATTTCAATATATATTAATGTATAAAATAGTAATGATCGATACCAAATTAATGTTGAAATGAATTTTATTAACAAATATCTTAATAAGTTGGAGAGTGTAAATTTTGTGTATTATTTACCCAACAAAAAATAAATAATTAAAAGAAGATTTTGAACCAAATAAGTTGACAGCAAATAATAATTCGTGAAGTATTCAATTTTAGAATTTCGGTTTAAACTATTTCAGCTGTAACAGGCTAAAACAAAAAATAAAAGGGGATGAAATAAATTCAGAACTTTTAATATTTGTATTATTGGAAATATTTTAGCTTGACTTAAGAGAGGATATTATGTATACCAAAATCGATAAAATAATTTTACAATCACTGAATTACACAAAACATTGACACTTTGGATTTATCGAAAAAGTCACTGACAATGATGTTGAGAATATAAAAGTAATACTTATATTTGCATATTTTTAATATATAAAAAAAATTGTAAATTCAAATAAAATAAAAAATAAACCCACGATGGTTAAAAATAAAAATAATATGATGTGAATTAGTAAAATTGTTAGCTATAACGGAATACTAATATTGATCCTGACCGACGGAAACACATAAAAACATAAGCTAATTTATATAATAATAAGTACTTATAGATGAGAAAATTATCCACAAATTATTTCATCATACCTAAAATAAACCAAAGCCAAAGTCAGCAAAGAATCGGAAGTAGACATTTAGTGTATAAATATTAGAAGTTGTATACATATATACTTATGTACAACCTTTCAACTTTAGTTATTCTGCATGCAGCTCCGTGTCTGTATGTATGTGTTGTAAAATGCTACAAGTTAGTACGACTAAATGATTCACGAATTAATATATGAAAGCATTATTACAGGTTCGCAAAATATGTATTTGGTGAATCATGTATCTAATTAACAAATACATCTAAACGTATATAGCCATAGCTGAAACGTTTAGTTAAAATCAGAGATATCTGTTCAAATGAAATGAATTCATTGTGATCATATAAGTAGTAATTTTGTATGGATTACATTCATATGTAAGTTAAATTATTTTTCGTGGTTAACCAGTTACCAGAAGAAAGTTTATAGCATTGCTGAATACTTATATTCTTTAACTTTCGATTCATCATTAATTTTTTGAATTGGGAATGAAATGCATTCAGAATTAACACATGGGCCTAAAAATAAAAATATTCAAAAATACGTAAAACTTGCGCCTATCTGCAGTGGCAGACATTATATTAAACAATTAATGTCGGTATAAAGATATTGCAATATTATATGCAAAACAGAGAGCAAAATTTATTGGTAATACCATGTCTATGTTTACAAAGCTAAATGTGAAATAAAATATAATACGTGTATTAAGAAGTGGACATTATGAATTAGCTGAAAAATATATAAAGTGGACCAGTCATTAATTATTTGTTGTAAATACCTAAAAGAATATAAATTTTATTCTAAAGGAAAGAAATGAGAAAGCAAAGATGCGTATTAAAATATTATAATATATAAAATCGATATTTTGTTTTTATTTATAAAATTTATAATAAAATAGTATTTACATATTAAAAAAAATAAATATTGACTATAACATTATTTGCAGTGAAGTAGGGAGAGTTAGGGTGGCCTATATGTACTAATATCTCATAAAGAGATTTTCGCTTATCTGTGAACTTAAGAATACTACTCCAGCGTATTTCATCTTGTGTGTTTGTAACTGTACTTTTATGTCGGCAATGGAATGTAATTACAAAAAAATACAAGAACAGAAGCTTCTTAATAATTTAATATAAAACTTTAAGTGAAAATGCAATTGATTGTGACTTTGAAATATGTACATAAACTTTTTTGCTTTTTGTCGTGCAGAGAAACGAATTGTTATTTTCAGGAAATTTCTTTTAACAAGATAAAGCGAATAGAAAAAAGTAAGATAAAGGGTAGTATGTAAAATACTTATGGTAAGTAATGATGTATTTATAAAAAAAAAATGTTTACTAGATAATTTAAATAAGTACAAAATAGCATTCCATTAACGCTTTTTAAAAATATTTGAGATGAAATATGTATTTACATACATACTTTATTACCAACGGCCCTGTGGTTTGGGGTGGTTCAGAAGAATACAACCACAGCTTTGTCCACGGCTTGTCGTATGAGGCGACTAAATGGACTTTCCTATCAAAAGTTGACGTGCATATATATAAATATCCAAGAATAAATTCTTACTAAAGTAGTGCTATAATAAAAATTGTTAATTTTAATTAATGTGTATTATAGTACAGGATTTTGCTATGCAGATGCCTAGTGAAACCAGTATTCTTGAAAACACAGATAACAACCCTTAGTTTACAATTAAGAGAAACGCTATCTAACGTATTTTACAGCAAGGCTAAAATTTGTGAAACTAATGGTAAAGAAACTCAAAACATAAAAAAAATTGAAAACAATGACTTTCATTAAAGTTCAAAATCGTTTTGTTTAGAAAATAAATTTAAATTAATTTCTCAGTTTGTCGTAAAATTACAGAGCAAAGAGGTATGAAAGTAAATATTGTTTGAGAAATTCATGAAGCATTAAGGAGCAGCGATATTTTGGAGACCAATTTAGGTAAAATATTCAACTAATGGTAAATATACGAATTTTTTTTTTGTTATCGAAAAGTTTCCAAAAAATAGGACTAACAACAAGGCTCTACAAATAGTAACGATTAGTAAAATATATAATCCTCGTAATCAACCACTTTCAATTCACGCCAAGGTTTATTATTCACAATGCAAAATAACGAAACGTTCCATTAAAATTTACGATAAAAAATTTACAATCTATGGAGTTTTTCATTCTCTTTATAACTTTACTTGACTTCAAAATACAGTATATCGCTGAGATGATATACGTATATTTAATACTCTCTTACTGCCAAGTATATATTATATAATTAATACTCCTATTAGGGCTTTCTTCTGCACTAAGTTGAATTGAAGTTAAAACAATTCAACTTCAAATCAACCAAACTCTTCTGGTATTACGAACTTCAAATATTTTCAGTCTAATTTCATTCGTTTTGCCCACCTAGGAAGTGAAGATTTGACACATAATTAAACAGCTGAAAATTTTTGATCAAAAATATACATTCATTTATTGCTCACGAATAGGAGAATAATTATTAAACTGGACATATGTTTTGATTTATATTACGATAACAAAAACGTTGGGGCCAAAACAAATTTATTGCCCATACGAAAAAGCCCTCGTATTCACTCAAATCCATAGGCCAAAATTTTTAAATAATGTCTGTTATAGATTCATAAATTATTTTCGTTTAAACAAGGAATCATTTTTTTTTTTTTTTACTAAATGAGATGAAGGAACATTATCACAAAACTCTACCTAACTACTCTAACTTTACCTTGTTGACGGTAGTTATCAAAAATTCAATTCAACTTCAACTTATTAAATATTTAACAAAGGTTTGATATTTGTATGTGAGCCTTAATAGCGTTACATTTATTTCAATTATTACAAGAAGCATATTTCACATACCATATGCTCTTATTGGATTTTGTAATTTAATTATGTTTTTTCAGCATGAAATAACCTGACTAATACATACTCGCACGTATTATTTCAAAAAACTAGAAACATTATTTATTTGTACCGTGAAATTGGGATGTTCACTTGTCAAATGACCACTTCATTGAGTACAAAGAAAACTGCAGTTACTTTGACATTTCCTATTTTTGATCTCTGCTCATATCTATCTAGATAATCGCAATAGACGACATTGTCCATATTCAATCGGATATACAGACCTCTAGCGCCACCACTCATCTGAAGCCAGTACCGTTACTGCTGGCATCAAAGAGAACGTCATAGGTGCCACGGCCCTCCTTTATGTACCTTCGTAGTGTCTAAAGTGTGATTTTATGATTTTTTTTCAACGAAGATCGTAAATAAGTACTTCAACTTTTGATTTATTTTGAGAACACAAATAGAGTTCGCTTAGATGATTGCACACAGATATATTTACTTCCAATTGCATTGGCAACTAAATATTTGCCTTTCGGTCTGTTGAAATTAATTAAAAGCTCATGTTTAAATAAATGAAGTGTATCAAATAGAATTTTAATTATAGAAGACTTAGTGAGGGATCCTTAAAACGCTTGATTTTTTTCTTTGAATTGCGAAAGAATTTATGAACATCTATTTGTCTTTAGAACCGAAATTTATCTTATGTACAGTGGTCGTCCAATTTTACGAATCTTATGTTGTACACCTCATCGCCACCATCTTTTCAAATAAATTACCAAAAAATTCAGTTTAAAAAATATAGATAATTGAATTCAATGAAAACAAAATTAGAAAACTTTATTAATTTTTTTACAAAAAAGTCTGCAATTCGCTTTCTGCAAAACAAAGCCATCATGACAATTCCATTCATGTATATCAGCGATTTCTGACTGAACGCTCGGAAATTAATTTGAATAACAAAACTAATCGCTATTAAAATAACTAATACCAGGGAAAACTGCTGCTGCCAGGGTCAATGTTGATTTAAAGAGGTTTTCGCCGTAGCATCCAATCAGTTCTGCTATGGTATTTCATATTCTTCATCGAATCCTACAGAACCATAATTTAAAAGATTTTTCTTATGATATCTTATGATAGAATTGTTTTTAGCAAAGCAATGGGTAGCAATTTGTTTTTGAAAGTTCTCGGGTTCGTACGAACAAAGTATTTTGAACTGTTTGAACAAACATATATAATATAATATAATCAAGATAATTTTGATAGTTCGTTAAACCGAAAATTCGTTATTTCGAAAGTTCGATTATACTGGATGACCACTGTGTATATGTATATACTGAAAACTTGCTATTTTTAAAACTAAACTACATATCTATCAGTGAGACGGGAACATATTTGCACGATACTACATAAAAAAAAGGTTCACGAAATAAGTTATAACTTGTTGCATTAATTGTATCTTGTAGTAATTCTATTTTGTAAGTGTGATATTGATATTATTATATTTAAAAATTCGAAGGAAAAGTTGTAAAAGTTAATGTAATTTACCAGGTAAGTACAATTACATTCGTATAAGAACAATTTCCTTCATATATTAAGAGCATGACCTAGTAATACTACCACGGTCATTTAAGATAAAATGAATCTTTGCTTGCATATTATGTGTGTGCCGGAAACGACAACTTGCTACGCCATTTATTAATTATGAGTTTTTTGACTACATATAATAATATCAGCTTTAGAAGAATAATCGTTAAATCTCATTATCCTTATTTGTAAATATTATTAACGATTTCGTTGTAAATTTTGTGCGGAAAGCATTTGTCTTACATTAAATACCAAATTCTGCCTAATAAATTACAAATATTTTTAGCGTATTTTTTGTGTAACTAAAAAAATTTGTTTTAAAAAATTTACATATGATAAAGCCATAGAACGATAGTTCTGAGTTAATATTTGTTTTATTTATTTTTCATAATTTTTTAAACTTGTTAGATCTAACGATCCATTAACTTCAAAATGGTTATTTAATTAATATATTTAATAAATCTATTGAAACAACTGAAAATATCATTAGTAGTGAACTTAAACTCAATATTTAACTATTAACCTTTATAAACAACCTAATTTAAATTTGAAAACAGTAATTGATAGTTAGAAAACCTCAATGATACCATTAGTTAATTAATTTTTTTAGAATTGTACCTTGAGAGAAAATTAGGCAAAAAGTGGTCTTAAATCATAAATTACAGTGATAGAAAAATAGTGGAAATACGTCTGGGACTGATAGCATATGTATTAGATAAGAAATTTTGTGTATATAATAAGGTTGCCACATTTATATGTGTTATACCACGTAGTTACCTAATCTTCATCCTTAATATGACCAACATGCTTTAACTGTGTGATTGTTCGATAAAATTGTAATTTTATCATCTTTCATAGGGGGCTGAACCCTATATATTTTGAATTGAAATATAAAGTTGAAATTCAAATATAAATTATAATTGAAAAATAAAATTAAGAAACATATTATTGGTATATTAAAATGGCGCTAATATAAAAAATAATAGTTGGCTATAACTGCCGAAAAAAGCAACATATATTTAATAAATATTGTTTTTGGCTCCATCAAAAAGTAACATTAAGGTTATATTAAAGTATGAGCGTATCTAAATAGAAATACCTCTTAAAACCCAAATATAGGCAAATAACTTAAACGAATAACAATAATGGAATGGAATTAAATATATGTAGATAGGCTTAATATGCGTAAGCATTAATTATAATTTTGTACAAAAATATATTTGAGATAAAATAAACCACGATAATGCCATGGCAAATTATTTATTTAATACTACAAACAACTCATAGCTACGTGGCGCTTATAAAAACTTAGTCAAGCCGATTCAAAAAAATGTGGATGTAAAGAATAAATTGAAATCAAAATGCAAACTGCTAACAACGAAAATGTGCTGCTATACAAATG